GCCCCAGGCTTGTGTTATGTCATGACACCTCTTCCTCCAAGTCCCAGCTTCCACAGAATTCTTTCATTCATTACATGAGTCACGTGCCTCATTTCTTCATTCTCCCCAAAGACCTGTGATGTAAGACTGTTGGATGTGACAGATGTTTACTGGAGATTCAAGCATAGGATAGGTACTGAATGGAGCACAGAATAATTTCAGTAAGAACTTGAAATTGAGGCTCGGCACCTGTGGCTCAAGCGGTTAAGGCGCCAGCCACATACACCTGAGCTGGCAGGTTCGAATCCAGCCTGGGCCTGCCAAACAACAATGACGGCAGCAACCAAACAATAGCCGGGCATTGTGGCGGCCGCCTGTGGTCCCAGCTACTTGGGTGACGGAGGCAGGAGACTCACTTGAGCCCAGAAGTTAGAGGTTGCTGTGAGCTGTGATGCCACAGCACTCTACCCAGGGCGACAGCTTGAGGCTCTGTCTCAAAAAAAAAAAAAAATCTGCTAGCCATTTCCTGACAGAAAAAGGCTTTTTTCCTTTTCTTTCTCTCCTTTCTTTTCTTCCCAGAACCTGACTCACTGTGTTGAGACGCCCACACTTCTCCTCACCTCCTCCTCACCACCTCATATTCCTACCCCATCTTTCCCACTGACCGAGAGCAACTTCCAATCCCTTTCTTTCGTACACAGAGCAGTTTAGCTCTCTCTAGGCAACATGAGGTAGGGATGGGGTGGGATGGGATGGAGGGGTCTCCCTTTTTAAAATCAAATATGCTCATTAAGGTGTTTCTCCCCTAAACCTGAAAGTAATTCTCACTCTAAGAATTTTGCCCTCATTTTAGACCAATCAACTCAATGTTAGCCAGCTCTACTAAAACACTTTTGTAATGCCTGGCCAAAAACATCTTTATAATGCTTCAAAACATTTTTGTAATGGGGTATATTTTTGAATCCTCACAATAAGCAGAAAGTATTATTATTATCCCCATTTCATAAAAAAAGGAACCCAGGTTCAGCAAAGTTAAAGAGCATAGTTGCTGGGCCAGGCGCAGTGACTCATGCCTGTAATCTTAGCACTCTGGGAGGCCGAGGCAGGTAGATTGCTTGAGCTCAGGAGTTCGAGATCAGCCTGAGCAAGAGAGAGAGCCTGTCTCTACTAAAAATAGCACAAGAAATTTGCTGAGGGTTGTGGCCAGTGCCAGTAGTCCCAGCCACTCAGGAAGCTGAAGCAAGAGGAACTCTTGAGCCCCAGAGTATGAGGTTGTAGTGAGCTATGTCGCTATGACACTCTACCCAGGGTGATAGAGTGAGACTCTGTCTCAAAATAAAAAGCATAGCTGCTGAGTCAAACAACAACTGAGCAGCCAGGCAAGAACTCAGACCCAGGTCTGCCTTACTCTAAATTCCCATGCTCTCCACCAATGCCTATCCTGGAGAAGGAGCTGTGTGTCTGGTGCATCTGTAGCTGGGAGGCAAACCCCATGTTGAGAATCAATTCCCATGTGGCAGAAAAGTCCTGTGTACTGTAGGGTCCTCTGTGGTGGGGATAGGCCTGGAGACAGTAGCCCTTGATGTTGAAGAAACTTGTTTCCAAGGTCCTGACTGGTTTGATGCCCCGTCCTCATGGACCAACCTCCAGGGCTCCTGTTCCTCCCAAAGCCATACTCTTTTCTGACAAGAGAGCCCCTATGGCAAGCACCAAAGCCGCTTTGCCCTGACACCAGTCACCTTGGGGGCTGACCACAGACCTCAGAGCTTCAGAGAAGCAGCTGCAAACTTGAGACTCTCCCAGACCACTCCAGTCAATGTACATCCCTGGCAGGCAGGCACTGTGCCTTTTCACTTCTGCTGGGCCCAGACTGGCTGAACTGAGTCTAATTCCATCCACTGATGTTTCCTCCTTTGTTCATGATAAAGGGCTCCAGCAGGTTAGGCTGACCTCTGTGGCTGTGAGCACAAGTGATCCCATTTACTGAGCACCAGCTATGTACCAGGAATTGTATACAATGACCTCATCTCATCTTCCCAGTCACCTGAGTTCCACAGAAAGTCAGCCCATTTTACAGATGAGGAAATAGTCTAGCAACAGCCTAGCAGTTTCTTGAACTTTTATAGCACAAGCAGCAGAGACTGAAATTTGAATCAAAGTTTATGCAGCACCAAGGCCTGCTATTTGCACTACGCAATCCCCCGTGTCAGAGGAGGTAACAACCTTCCCCTCCTTCCCAGTGATGAAGCATCACCCTTCTTCTTTTGTGTGAACATTGTGTTTTTGGTGTCAATGTATGATTCTAAAAAGCCCACTTCCCTGCTGCAGTGAAGGGTGGGGAGAGGGGCTGGGGCAGGGTTGAGCCTCTGGGTAAGCGATGCTGCCTCCGGGAACCTCTGCTGAGAGGACCTGGTTACCTCATGGGTCTGAGGGAGAAAAGCAGCTCAGAGACTAGGACCGAAGCTCCATAGGAATTCTCCCTCCAGCGCCTGGATACCCACTGCCTGAGGACTTTTTATAAATAGATCAAACATGCACATGATACAAAATTCTAAAGATACGAAGTGCCATACAAAAAAAAAAGTCTCCCTCCTCCCCTGTCTGCCAGGCCTCCCTCCCATTACCCTTCTAAAAGGAAAGTAGCTGTGACCAGTTTCTTAGGCAGCCTTCAAAAGCATTTACAAGCAGAGTCCTTTTTTTTGAGACAGAGTTTTACTATGTTGCTCTGGGCAGAGTGCCATGGCATCACAACTCACAGCAACCGCCAACTCCTGGGCTTAAGTGATTCTCTTGCCTCAGCCTCCCAAGCAGCTGGGATTGCAGGCACCCACCACAACACCCAGCTATTTTTTGTTGCAGTTGTCATTGTTTAGTTGGCCTGGGCTGGGTTCGAACCTGCCATCCTTGGTGTATGTGGCTGGCGGGGTAACCACTGTGCTACGGGTGCTGAGCCAAGCAGAGTCTATTTTACACACACTACCGGAGTCATTCTACCCCTTACCCTTTACCTGGGTGTGTCTTGTGATCATCTCATAGCCATGTGTAGGGACTGACTCGTGCTTTTTAGGAGCTGTTTAACAATCCAGTCCATGGAAGAGCCAGATTACTTGATCAGTTTCTTTATTGATGAACTTCCATCTTCATCATTACAAACCATGAATATCTTTTATAGATCATGTTGTACCTGTGTGAATATATCTATAAGATAAATTCCTAGAAGTAGGATTACTAGTGCTTATTAAATATACTATTTGTTTTTAAAATGTTAATACATTGCGCCCAACTCCATAGAGCAGAGGTCCTCAAACTTTTGAAACAGGGGGCCAGTTCACTGTCCCTCAGACTGCTGGAGGGCCGGACTGTGGGCCCCGGGATGAGTCGGCTGCTAAGCAGGACAGGCAGTGGCGGCAAACACACCTGGCGGGCTGGATAAATGACCTAGGTGGGCTGCATGTGGCACGAGGGCATAGTTTGAGGACGCCTACCATAGAGGCTATAGCAATCTATACCCCACCAACAATGAAAGGCAGCTGAGGAAGCGCTTTCTATATGAGGAAAAACCTTTAGCTGGAAGAGACCAGCTGGCGGGCAGGCAGACAGCCTCGTGCTTGGCCCAGAAATCCATCCAAGGGAAGAAGATGAGCCACCACCACCCATAGGCTGTTCTCCATTTCACTGGTGAGAAAACTGAGATTGAGAGAGTTGACATGCCTTACTCAGGGTCATAGCCTGGAACCCTGTATGTCCAGGGCTAATTCCTCCAAACAATGCATGCTTTGCTCTCTGACCTAAAGCTGTGGTCTCCTGTGTTGTCTTGGCTGCAAGTTGGAGAACCCATTTCTTTCCTACTGCGAGCTGAAAATAGCTGGGCCTCCTGTATAGTTCAGAGCTTCCTTCCACACATAAGGAACCAGGACCAGTCTCCCACACATACTTAGCCAGCTGCTATTTCCAGCCTACATGGGGTGCACAGAGCCTGGACTGTCCACTTCTCCAAGGTGGGTAGCAATGATTACTCTGGACATTCATCCACTGGCCTAAGGAACTGAAACACTCAACAGATCCTCTCCATGGCAACTACTAGGTGGTAGGTGGGGAGGGTGTGAAAGAAGTCCATTGACCACATGGGCCATGGGCGTTATCATCAGCCACTCAGCAAATGAAAGAAGCCATGGTGAAGAGTTCTCTTTCTCTGTAAAGTGCCTTCACATCCATTAACTCATTCGCCTCCACAGCAGTTCTTTTTTTTTTTTTTTTTTTTTGAGACAGAGCCTCAAGCTATCCCCCGGGTAGAGTGCCATGGCATCACGCTCACAGCAACCTCCAACTCCTGGGCTCAAGCGAGTCTCCTGCCTCAGCCTCCCAAGTAGCTGGGACCACAGGCACCCGCCACAACGCCCGGCTGTCCATTTTTTGGTTGCAGCCATCATTGTTGTTTGGCGGGCCCGGGCTGGGGATTCGAACCCGCCACCTTAGGTGTATGTGGCTGGTGCCTTAGCCACTTGAGCCACAGGCTCCGAGCCCACAGCAGTTCTTAAACTAGGCAGGATTCTTATATTCATTCTTCCCATTTTATAGATAAGGAAAAGGAGGTATGACTTGCCTAGAGGCAAGACCAGGTTGTTTGGTGCCTAATCCTGGTCACATCCTGTTCTGCCAGATGTTAAGCAATCTCCTGGCAGTACGAGACATTCACAAAAACCATCTCCTATCTGCTCATATCCAGAATGAGTCACCATGTCCCTAGCAATGTTGTTTTGAACCCTCCAGTACAGGGATATATATAAATTTCTTGCCCTACATCCTCATCTTTTTAGCTCCAGAGAGAAGTCTTTTGAGAAGAAAGCCTTAGGGTGTTTCTGACTGCTGGTCTTGCACTGTATCTAAGTGCCTGGCATGGCCTCTGGCACACGATGAGTACTCAAGAAAGGTATGTTGTTTTGTTGGTTGGAAGACTAGCTGAATAGACGGATGAGTGGATGGGAGGGTAGGTGAGTGGGTGGCTGGTGGGCTGATAGCGGTTCATTTGTTTGCTTTTATTTTCCTACGAGGATCCATTCCCCCTTCCAAATATCACCTTGACATCCTTGTATGGAATGCCTGTCCTTGTCACAGTATACAGTCTCAGTGGGACAGCAGTTTAAGGGCTCCGTCTTCTCCCAGCCAGGAAGCAAGCAAATGACAGGAGCTCGGCTGATCATGCTCTCTCTCCCAGGACTGAATCATCAACAGAGTGAGAAAAGGATAGGAAAATCAGCTGAAGTACATTTGTTTTAACGATACCCTGATGAGACTGTCAAGTAGTTCCTTTTTTGCCCAGGCACCCAGAGTTTTTCTGGTTCCCCACTTGCCCTTTTTCCAAGCCAGCTTCTCCAATGTCCTACCTATTCTACGACCTACTCAACAGTACCCCCGACACATTACCTTCCTGAGTAAGATAGGGTAACATTATGATATATGTGTGTACACACAGACTATATATATGCACGCATATGTATACCCACACACATATATAGTTTTCCATCCACAGTTCCTGGCTCATAGTTCTCATAACTCTTGTTTAGTCTTAGTCATTTGTTATGTTGGGGCACTTCAAGAATCAGAATCCTGATCTCTCTCTGATGTTCTCCTACCCTCCTTTCACCTGCCTAAGGCAGGACACTACTTTGATTGTGAATTATAAAACTCTCATTCCAGCAAAGGTCCTGCCTGGGGGAAGGAATGCTGCACAAAAAGGCCAAGAAAAATCTGAAGACGGGTCTTCCTAGGTGTGCTTGCTCAGTCTGTTAGTACTAGATCATATTCTTTTTGCCCAGTCACGTCTCGGCATGGTTGTCCATGCTTCAGTTGTGCCTACCCAAAGTTTCCAATTAGCCCCATGTGTGGAGGCTGGCGGGAAGGTGAACAAGAACTCATCATCCACATGCTGGGAAGGTAGTGCACCCCAACTGCACCAAGACAGACGCTCTTCCAGACCTTGCCCTATCTATCTCTTCATCTGGCTGTTTATTTGTGTTCCATTAAAGTACATTTTGTGAGGCTGGGTGTGGTGGCTCACTCCTGTAATCCTAGCACTCTGGGCGGCCAAGATGGGTGGATGGCTTGAGCTCAGGAGTTAGAGACCAGCCTGAGCAAGAGTGAGACCTCATCTCTATAAAAATAGAAAAACTAGCCAGGCATAGTGGTGCACACCTGTAGTACCATCTACTGGGGAAGCTGAGGCAAGAAGATTGCTTGAGGCCAGGAGTTTGAGGTTGCTGTGAACTAAAACAAAAACATTTTGTGTAACAAACTGATGGACATGTTTCCCTAAGTTCTGTGAGTACCTCTAGCAAATTAATCAAACTCAGAGAGGGGCTGTGGTAGCTCTGCCTGAAGCTGGTCACTCAGACATTCAAACTTGCTACTGGTGGGAAGGAGAGAACCTCAACCTGCAATTTCTGAGGTTCTCCCCAGATCAGTGTTTTTCTTTTTTTTTTTTTTTTTGAGACAGAGCCTCAAGCTGTCCCCCTGGGTAGAGTGTCGTGGCATTACAGCTCACAGCAACCTCCAACTCCTGGGCTCAAGCGAGTCTCCTGCCTCCGCCTCCCAAGTAGCTGGGACCACAGGCGCCCGCCACAATGCCTGGCTATTTTTTGGTTGCAGCCGTCATTGTTGTTTGGCGGGTCCGGGCTGGGGATTTGAACCCGCCACCTTAGGTGTACGTGGCTGGCGCCTTAGCCGGTTGAGCCATAGGCGCCGAGCCCAGATCAGTGTTTTTCAACCTTTTCTATCTCATGGCACACTTGAACCTATAGTTAAACTTCTGAGGCACACTTAAATTATGCTGATCAAAAAAAAAAAAGAGGCTCAGCGCCTATGGCTCAAGCAGCGAAGGTGCCAGCTACACACACCTGAGCTGGTGGGTTCGAATCCAGCCCAGGCCTGCCAAACAACAATGATGGCTACAACCAAAAAATAGCCAGACATTATGGCGGGCGCCTGTAATCCCAGCGACTAGGGAGGCGGAGGCAGGAGAATCGCTTGAGCCCAGGAGTTGGAGGTTGCTGTGGGCTGTGATGCCACAGCACTCTACCCAGGGGGATAGCTTGAGCTTTGAACTTCTTTCAGAAATAATTTAATTAATGGTCTAAATTTTTTCCTAGCACACCTCAGATCCTCCCACAGCATACCAGTATGCCATGGCACAGCGGCTGAAAAATCACTGCTCCAGATAGATTGCATCAAAATTGAACTAACTGTCACACCTATAATTCCAGCACTTGGGAGGCCAAGGCGGGTGGATCGCCTGAGTTCATGAGTTCAAGACCAACCTGACCCAGAGCGAGATCTTGTCTCTAAAAAGTAGCTGGGTGTTTGGGCAACGCCTGTGGCTCAAAAGGGTAGGGTGCTGGTCCCATCTGCCAGAAGTGGTGAGTTCAAACCCAGCCCCGGCCAAAAACAGCAAAAAAAAAAATAGTTGGGTGTTGTAGTGGGCACCTATTGTTCCAGTTACCTGGGAGGCTGAAGCAAGAAGATTGTTTGAGCCCAAGAGTTTGAGGTTGCTGTGAGCTAAGACATCAGGGTACTTTACTGAGGGTGACCAAATGTGACTCTGTCTCAAAAAAAAAAAAACTGAACTAACTGGAAGACACCTGGCTGGTGTCAGCTACAGAACGGATTGCTTGCTTGGTGTGTGGGGAGAAACCCCCACATATCTGTGACACAGGGCAGGAGAACATCAGAGACACAGTGTGTTGTGGTGTGATAAACCCACACTGGGTGCTGCTTATTCCATACTCCCAAATAGCAAAAGTTTTCTCCACTTACAAACACAGAATTTTAACAGACACAAGATGGAGAGGTGAATGAGGAGACGCAGGAACTACGGGGAGAGGACTGGAGGGAGTAAAGCAGGCGTCCTCAAACTATGGCTCGCCGGCCACTTGCAGCCCGCCTAGGACATTTATCTGACCCACTGGGTGTTTTTGCTGCCACTGCCTGTCCTGCTTAGCAGCCGACTCATCTGAGGGCCTGCAGGCCGGCCCTCCAACGGTCTGAGGGACAGTGAACTGGCCCCCTGTTTAAAAAGTTTGAGGCCCCCTGGAGTAAAGGAATGAGTGGAGACAAGGTCAGGACTGGTCCCTGGGGGAGCTCAGTGCTACTCAGAGAAGGAGGCAGGAACTAAGTGGCAGGGTGAGTCCTAGGCCTTGGAAGGATGACAGGAAATTCCTGTGGGAGGAGTAATGTGAACCAATTTTAAGGGCAACAGGATACGGACCCCCAGATCTCCCTCTAGAATACTGGAAATCCTTTACCATTGTCTTTTTTTTCCTTTTTTTTTGAGATAGAGTCTCACTATGTTGCCCTCGGTAGAGTGCTGTAGTGTCACAGCTCACAGAAACCTCCAACTCTTAGGCTTTAAGCAATTCTTTTGCCTCAGCCTCCATAGCTGGGACTATGAGCACCCACCACAACACCTGGCTATTTTTTGTTGCAGTTGTCATCTCTGTTTAGCTCACCCGGGCTGGGTTTGAACCTGCCACTCTCCGGGTATGTGGCAGATGCTATAACCACTGTGCTACAAGCACCGAGCCTACCTTTGTATCTTTTAACTGAGAAAGAAAAGGCCTCAGAAGTCATACATGTATCATCAGACTTCCATTTCACAGATGAGGAAACTGAGGCCCACAAAGGGTAAGTGGTTCGCCACAACTTAACTGTTAGGTTTGGAACTGAACTGGGAGTAGAGCTCAGGTCTCCTCATTCCAAATCCCTTACTCTTTTCACCACTCAAAACTGACTCTAGAAGGAATGACTAAGATGCAGAATTTCCATACTCCATATTGAGGAAATTCCCCAAGGGGACTTCCTCACATCAAGGAGAGGTCTTCAAAAAATGCAAACACCCAGGAAGATTCTAAGGTCCCTGATCTTCCAGCCTGAGTGCTCCACAAGAGAAGCGGCAGAGTAGAGAAACAGGAGAGCAGGACCCATCCCTGAGAAGGGAAGCAATGGGCAAGAAGCCACAAGGGGCTTCCCGGGACTGGCTCAAGAACAGGGCCGGGTCCAGACAACAACCACAGAATCCTGTAAAATTCTGAAACTTTGGTCACTTTTATAAGCCTGTCTGTGAAAACTCTTTGAAAACAGGTTTGTGTGCTGGCCAAGAAGGGAGAGGGGAGGACTGTGTCTTATATTATGGCCAAGCACCAAGAGACAGAAATCCAGTGGGGGGCAGAGCGTGGGGCTAGTGTCTGAAGTCTGCTGCACACCGGGTGGGACAGATCAGGGCAGGTCTGAGTCATCACTATTTTCTATGTGTTTCTTCCTAACAAGTGAAATAGTGCCTGAAGTATCCCTGTGGTGTGTGACAGTTAATGGAGAATCACCACCAACTTCCCCTCCGCTGCCTCCTGCCTCCTAAGTCCCAGCTGAGAGGAACAGAACACTTCTACTGTGGGGGCGGGGAGGGGAGGAGAAGACAGCCTTGAGGGGGGATGCTGGAGCCTGGACGTTTGGGGAAAGGAAGGGACAGAAGTGTTTCCCAAGCATCTACTTTATGCCAGAAACTGTGCTGGGCAGTTCACTGCTTACTTCATTGAGTCCTCTGAAGTAGTCTAGGAGTTGGGTATTCTTAGCCCCATTTCCAGAAAGAAAACCAAGGTGTGGAATAGTTAATAATTTGTTCAAGGACATCAGTAACTTGTGAACAGTAATTTGTTCAGAGAATATGTGCTGTTCGATTTCAACCCTCCCAAGACTGTCCTGCGTCACTGGGCTTCCTCCTTGGGGCTGGGACAAGGCAGGGCAGGGGGCAGATGCTCCAGCAATCAAGAGTTCGGGTGGAGGACAGGGAGCTCGGAGAAGGGGTCCGCACAGAGAGAGGGGAAGGAGAAGCCGCCAACAAACAGGCAGAAAACAAACACAAAACTAAACTCCAAAGTAGCAGGTGGAGCAGAGCCTGAAGCCGTCTGTCACCCAGCAGCTTCTCTGTGGGCCTCACTCCCACGGCCACCCCTCCCCCAAGGTACCTTGTGGTGGGCTCCTCCAGTAACCAGAGGCCAGTGGCACCATTCTGATCATCAAACACATGACATGTGGTCTCCATCTGTAATAAACAAGTGAGTGTGCACAGCCACTGTCCTGTGTGGTGAAGGTGAGAAGAGTGGGGGAGGCTGAGCTGCAACCTTCTGACTGAATGTGGTAGGAACTTTGAGAGCAGTTGTCAAAGTTAGTACCCCTGACAGAGCGCAATGTGCGTTAGGGGGCAGGGAAGGAAAGCAAAGGAGGGAAAGGAAGGAAAGAGGCAGACTAGATAACAAAGAAAGAACAAACACAGCTGGACCCAAGGACGAGAGCAGGATGTTGTAGAAAGAGTCCTAGAGGGGGTTCGAATCCTGCCTCCACCCAGGCGAGTGCCCTGGGCCTGCTGGGAGGCCTCAGCTTGCACCCCGCCGCCTTGGCAGATCCTCCAGCCAGCACCAGTGGAGCACCTACCCCCAGTAGGGTTCTACAGAAGCAAAGAGTGAGACAACAGCCTGCGGTCTGGAGTCTCCGGTGGGAAATATTTAGACTAGTAAACAGGGCAGAGGAGGGAAACTGGCAGGAAACAGAAGCAAGGCTCCAATTTGCAGACAGAGCAAATTAAGGCCTATCAGGACATTACCTCAGGCTTCTCTTAGGGACCCAGATTCCCAGAGAGTGGGTAGACTTTTACTCCTTTTTTAAAAAGCACCCAGAACAGCCAGAACTGCTCCCCACACAGTTCTGAGGGAAACTCCATGCCCAATCAAAGCTTTGGAATCCAGAGGAATAAGGTTTCGCTTGCTCTGCCAGAATCTGGTTTCCCAACGTCACACTTTGAGACTTGGCTGGCAGCCAGCTCAGCTTAGGAAAAAAGAAACGAAAGAAAAAAAAGCAGGACTGGGCTAGAAAGGGCAGGGAGAAGAGGGACCGTGCTAGGCTGGAGGGGATGTGTGTGTGGCTTTGGAGAGGATTATTCTACTTTGAAAAAGGGTGCCCGAGGACTGAAGGTTGGTAAGAACCAGGCTTATGGATGTGAAAGGCCCGTCAGTGAGCCCATAGGGTCTGTGAATCCCTTGCCCTCTCTGAGCAACTTGCCCAAGGTTATCATTAATTAATAACAGCAAGCCAAACACAGAAAGAAAAACATTGCATAATCTCACTTACATGTGTAATCTAAAAAAGTCAAATATGTGGAAGCAAAGAGCAGAACTGCGGTTATCCATGGTGAGGATGGTGGAGAAATGGGAAGATGCTGGTCAAAAGGCACGAGGTTGCAGTCATGCAGGATCTGAGCTACCGGTCAAAGGCAGTTTGCAGGATCTAAGGTGCAGTCATGCAGGATCTGAGCTACCAGTCAAAGGCAGTTTGCAGGATCTAAGGTGCAGTCATGCAGGATCTGAGGCACAGCATGACACCTCCCAAGACCTCCAGTGATGCCCTAAACCACACATGGTACTGAACATGCCTATGATAACATTTAGTTTATAAATTAAGCACAGTACGAGATTAACAACAACTAACAATAAAATAGAACCGTTAGAAAAATATACTATAATAAAAGGTCTGTATTTATTTCTGAAAATTTTCACTTAGTGCTTTTTGACCAAGGGTAACTGAAACTACAGAAAGTAAAACCACACATAAAGGGCGGACTATCGTATGGTTAATAAGAGTCTATCGTATACTAGAAGTTTGCAAAGAGAAGAGCTTTCAGGTGCTCTCACCATGCACAAACAGTGGTAACTGGGTGAGGAGATGGGTTTATTAATTTGACCATCACAATCATTTCCTTGCATATATGTATATCCACATGTCATGCTGGGCACCTTAAATATACACAACTTTTATTATCAGTAAATACATAATAAATAATAAAGCTGGGTTTTGAACCTAGACATCAGACCCTAGAGAGCCCATGTACTTACTCAAGATGCTATAAGATGTTGTCGAGCCTAAACCGGCATTGATTTAGCATTATGTCCAGGATATCTGTTGGAAAGCAGGGGGAGAATACGAAAATCAGACAGAAAAGAAAAAGCTCAGGACATTGTTCCTGCATTCATGGAGTTAAGACAAGGCCGGGGAAATTGTGAGTCACAGTAAAGGAGTGTAAATTTCTGTTTCCCTCTGCCCCCACCCAAACAAGCTCCCGAGGATAGGACTTTGCCTGTCTTGCTTGCCATGGTATCTGCAATGCCTAGAACAGTGCTGGGCTCACAGTGATTCTCAGTAACAATTCATAACATGGATAAGGAGCAATCGAGCAGTGGTAGTCCATGCACGCTGAAGGGACAGGGAGGGCAGAGACAGCTCCCCTGGTGCTTGTACCTCACCGTTCAGTCTCCTAAGCACGTCCATGGTCACTACTTCTCTTGATCCTCTCAACCACAGTGCAGTGGATCAGACAGGCAGGAGCTCCTAGCTTTCAGGAACACAAAGTGCTGAGTGTATAATAATGATAGTTGTCATTCACTGAACACCTCCCCTGTCCCAGGAACCATATTATTTACACGGGCTTTCTAATTTCCTCATGGAATCAGTACACGGGAGCCAGAGAAAAGTTTAAAGAGAGCCCATCAAGTTTGAACACTGACAACAGGGACTCTACCTAACAAATGCAAACATCGTAATCTAATTCTTTGAATCCTCAAATTCACCTGAAATTTAAAAATAAAGTTCGAACGCTGATGTCACACAGGAGGAGGTAAGCGGCAGAAATGGAATAAAAAATTAGATTCATCTCCCTCTTATGCTCCCCACAATCCACTAGAACCACCAAAAAGGAAGAAAAACTCTTCTGACTTCCCATCGCTATTTCCGTGCAGCACCTCCACCATCCTCTCCACTCATAGCCCTGTCCCCACCACCATTTATCTACAGACACACGCACACACACACACACACACAGCGGAAAGGTTCACCAGGGTTTAAAGATAAGGAGCATGTTGGTCCTGACTGCAGGTTTCCTCCCCTTGCTCCTCAGCCAGTATCTAACTCAGCATATCTGGTATCTGGGAAAATACTTTATTTTCTTCTTTAAAGAGGGAAACTGAGGTCAAGGAATGAAAACATAAGTAGAGCTCACAGGGAAAAACAGCCTTAGCAAAAGGTTCAGGATTTCTGTAAAAGTTTGGTAGAAAGTCCGTGAACACAGACAGACATAGGTTTAATGTTGAATCCGACCAGTGTAGACTATGACCTTAACTTACACCTTTACTTCTTTAAGCCTCAATTGACCCATCTGTTTGAAGACAGACTTTATGTAATAAATAAATAAAGATTTATTATAATAAAGTTCACTAATATTAACTGGGAGTCTAATTTAGATTGCTGAGAAGCATAAAGTATAAAATATCCTTACAGGGATTGGCATCTTCTTACTCTTAATAACATGACAAGCAGAACATGGTGGCTTCCACCTATAATCCTAGCACTTTGAGAAACCAAGAAAAATTAACCTGGCATGGTGGCACATGCTTGTAGTCTCAGCTACTCAGGAGGCTGAGGCAGGAGGATCGCTTGAGCCCAAGTGTTTGAGGTTACAATGAGGTACTGCACTCCAGCCTGGGTCACAGAGCAAGACTCTGTCTCTAAAACAACTTTTTAAAACCCATGATAAAGGCCACACCTGTAATCCTAGCACTCTGGGAGGGTCAGGTGGGTAGATATCTTGAGTTCAGGAGTTTGAGATCCGCTTGAGCAAGAGTCAGACCCCATCTCTACTGAAAGTAGAAAAAAACTAGCTGGGCATTGTGGTGAGCGCCTATAGTCCCAGTTACTGGGAAGGCTGAGGCAAGAGGATCACTCAAGCCCAAGAGTAGTTTGAGGTTGCCATGAGCTATGACACCACAGCGCTCTATCCAGGGCAACAGAGTGAGACTCTGTCTCAAAAAAATAAATAAATAAAAATAGCTAACGTTATCAAGTGCTTTATATGTATCAGGAATTATACAGGGTGGACACAAAGTTCATGTGCAATTTAAAATAGTTAACATGGTAAATTGCAGATGAATTTTATGTCCACCCTATGCTAAGAGTGTTTAAGCCCATTACAAACATAAGCCCATTTATAGGAATGTATCTCAACATCTGTTTGAGAGGCCATTATTATTATCACTGATTCTCAACGAGAAAATTGAGACCAGAGAGATTAAGTCACTTGCCTAAGGCCACCTGGATAATAAATAAGAGAAACGTCTAAAAGTCCCCGCTCTTAACCATCACCTTTTCTACAGCCTCCCACATGTCTGATAATCTAAGTTAGACAAAAGGGGGCTATGTGAAGGAAGTGATTAAAATAGGCAGAAAATTTTTGTGGGGATGGACAAATGTTTCTAAAGTGCCTGCAGTCCGTTGCTTTAAATGAGATGGCCGTGCTTTCCAAAATTATGTTTCCATCGTTAGTTATGAATGAGTTGTAAGGAGGGCATGAGAGGATGGCTGTAATGAGCTTAGAACAGCAGCTGGCCCCTGGAAAGGCCTGGGTGACTGTTAACTGCCTTACTGATGAGAGTTCCTGAGAGAAGAGGTTGGTAGTTAGGAACACCTGGGGCTCAAATCCCATTCATCAGCTGTGGACCTCGAGGATGTCATTTACCTCTTTTGAGGCTCAGTTTCCTCTCCTGTGAGAACCACCACCACTCTGCCTCAAAGTCATCATGAGGAAGAAACATGACCAAGTCTTTCGAATCTGGCTGATTTAGTCACCCTTGGCCACCAAGTTACATATGTGACAGTTGCTAACAGAAATCATTTTCAGTTTAGGGTTACATTTGTTTTTAATTTGTTTTTGTCACTGTCAATAAACACTTTTGTCTCAGATAATTCAGAAGCCAATTTCAGCCTAGCCTGGCCAAAGCGTCACTAATTTTGAACTACTCAAATAGGAATGGATGAAGATTTACTGTATCCAATTCTTTGGAATGGAGTAAGGACCCTAGCTCTAATGCAGAAGTTCCACACAGGTTCAGTTTCAAGGATGTTCCCAGCCAGGAACCCTTCAATGTTGCACAGTATTTTGTGGACAGAGCACTGAAGTGGGAGCCGGGGCAACTGGATTCTGATCCAAACTCTTGTCTTTCATCTGTTGTGTGTTCTTAGCAAATCACTCTTGCTTGCTGGGCCATGGTTTCCTCCTCTGCAACTGAAGAACATGGAAAAAATGATCCTTAAAGTCCTTTGAAATTTTCATAGTCTGTAACTTTCGTGCCCAAGAAGACCTCAGAAATGAGATGGGATCCCAGAATTTACTGGGTTTTCTTACACATCACATGGGCATGATAATAGTAAATGAGCTGACACATGCCAGGCCCATACAATAGTGACTAGGTAGCTAATAATATCAGTATATACTGTAAGACAGTGGTTCTCAATCTTCCTAATGCCGTGAACCTTTAATACAGTCCAAAGGGGTCGCAACCAACCTCTGCTGTAAGAGATCTCTCCCTCCTTCTCAACAAGTCCGTAACCAAACATTCCACTTCATAAACAAGAAAAGAGAATTCAAAGACATTAAGAATTTTCCCAAAGATCACTTGGGGGTGACCCAGTGGCCATGATGAAAGCAAGAAGCTCCCCCAAGAGGAATCACTCCAAATTGTATCTGGTAAAAAGATCCCCAGCTCAGATCCACTGCCCCAATTATAGGATGAGCCCTCTCACCTCTTTGGGGATTATTTGTCCAGAGGACCCTCCTTGATAAAACACCCTGTAAAAAACATCCTTTCACAAATTAGAAAAGGGAGAAAAGATATGCAATGAATAAGCAGGAACTTTGAAGGCAACCAAATAAAGCCCTGTGGCCTCTGAGCCTGTCCTAACTGCCCCTCCTCCTTGCCCCCAAGAAAGTAGCTTTCTGTTGTCTGGGGAGGAAGATGAAAAGCTGGTGATGCCAGCAGAGGAAGCTTTCCTCCACTGATGCTTGGGCAAAGGGGGAACCGATGAGCTCACTCTAGATGGGAGGGCAGTGAGGGGGGGAGAGAGAGACGTTCAAATTTCCGGTGGCTATTTCAGTTTTCTTTTCCGTTTTGTGCAATTTCACTCATAATATCAGCCAGGGCTTGTCTACTATTTTGGAAACTCCCCTGGGGGCGGGGTAATCCCTCTACTGGCCCCGACCCTCTATAAAGGGCCAGACTGCCCTTCAGAGGATTCCTGCAGAGGATTTTCAGATAGCCCGTGGATCTCCCACAGCCTCTGTCCACAGGTACCATGAAGGTCTCCGTGGCTGCCCTCGCCATCATCCTCACCGCTGCTGCCCTCTGTGCTCCTGCATTGGCCTCCCCATGTAAGTCCAGATCCTGACCCCTACAGCCCATGGAGTTGGAGGCTCTGCCTAGAATGCCTACCCCATCCCAATGACTGTTTTGGACCTTGCCTTCTTTTCATCCGTGGCATGTATTCTGCCTGTACTCCATTATTCACATCCCTATGCACTGTTTTACTCAGATGTCCTTTTGCCCCTGATAGATCTCTAAACTGTTTCATGGTAAGGAACTCCTGAGCAACTTTTCTGTGTCTTCAAGGTCTGCACCCTCCAGCCCCACAAGTGCTGAGTGTGGAATGATGCTGGGGATATTAATAGTCATGGGTAGCTCAAACTCATCTTGAAATAGGACTGACTCATGCCTGTCATCAGCAGGGCTTCTAAGAAACTTCTAAATACTTAACTAAAACCCTCCTGAGATGGTTACATTCTTTCTCATTTCATAAATGAAAAAAAAAATGAGGCTTGTCAGAAGATAATAAAAGCTAATTAAAGGCCTACTATGGACCAGGCATTGTACTGATTGTTTTATATACATAATATATATATCTTATTTGATATACCTATTCTTTGAGTAGCTGCCCTTAACTTACAGATGGGAAAACAGAAGCCCAGAGAGGTTAAGTAACATGCCCAAGGGAACACAGCTAGGAAATGAGGAAATTGGTATCCAAACCCAGTTTTATCTGGCTAGGGAAATAAATACTACTGTTCTGCTGGGAAGTGAGTGGCAGCTCATGCTTCCCAATGTCATCTTGAATTAATTGACCAACAAGAAGTTCAGAGCCTTTCTTACTAGAGCTTAAAACAGGAATTCCCTTTTAGGATCCTGGCTGAGCCATGAAGCCTGAGATTTGGAAGCCTTTCTCCAATCCACTCTAGGTCTCAAAGACACCAAGTTCTGAATCCACTGAGGATCTTAGAAGGGCAAGAAGGAGGGTAGGCAACCCAGGACAAGCCAAGAGGAGGCCAGCATGTCCTGAGACCGAGGGCAAGGAGTTATGACGTAGAGGAAAAGAGGCAAGCTTGGCTCAAGAATTAGAGGGTTTGGGGGTGGCACCTGTGACTCAAAGGAGTAGGGTGCCGGCCCCATATGCCAGTGGTGGCAGATTCAAACCCAGCCCTGGCCAAAAACTGCAAAAAAAAAGAATTAGAGGGTTTGGGAGACCTTCTCAGTCCTCTGATGGAGTCCCCAGTCCACCACTGTGTATCTATGGCCAAGTGACTTTGCCTCTCCAAGCCTCAGTTTCTGCTATGGAAGATAACAGTCCTTTCAAGATAAATCATATGAGGTGCCCAGCACAATGTTCAACGTATGCTAGCAATGAATACATGTAAAAGGGTCTTCTTTCTTCTTTTATTTTAGATTAATATGAGGGTACCAATATTTAGGTTACATTGTTTTCATTTGTAAGGTCAATTTCAAGTTGTAGTTGAGCCCTTCACCCAGGGGGTGTGCTGGACACCCTCACATTGTGCACATTAGGTGAGAACTTGCTGATTCCCCTTCCTACTTCCCTTCCCCATTTCTCTCCTCCTACTGGTGTTTTTCTTTCGTGTGGGCATGTAGTTGTTTATATATTGATTTCATATGAGTATTGAGTACAATGGATACTTTTTTTTTCCCATTCTTGTGATACTTCACTAAGAAGAATGCATTTCAGCTCTATCCAGGTAAATACAAAAGATGTAAAGTCTTTTATAGCTGAATAGCACTCCACGGTATACAGAGACCACCGTTTGTTAATCCATTCATGGGTTGATGGCCACTTGGGTTGCTTCCACATCTTGGTGGTTGTGAATTGAGCTACAATAAACATTCCAGTGCATATGTCCTTATGAAGGGTCTCCTTTCTACTTCCTTTCTCCTAGATGCCTCGGACACCACACCTTGTTGCTTTGCCTACATCTCCCGCCCACTGCCCCGCACCCATGTCAAGGAATATTTCTACACCAGTGGCAAGTGCTCCAACCCAGCAGTCGTGTGAGTCCAAGCCCCATAGGGCCCTTTAAGGGGGTGAGGAAGGGATGCCTTTTGTCCAGGGACAGTCTTCTTAGGACCCCTCTGAGAGTGTACCTTACCTACTCCCACCCAGCACCTGGCAGCTCAACTAGCCATGGCTCCTCCATCTCTAGCCTCAGAGTCCCCAGCTATAGTGTACACGAACTACACAAGATATTCTTGGAGGATCCTGCCCACCCTAATGGACTAGGTTCCTAGGACTCTGGTCTTTACTACTGTGGCTTTTGCTTGAATGTGGTCTGGAGTGCCCCTTTGCGGAGAACAACTCAGTCATCTCTTTCCTATTAAGAACCTCAACATGTCCCATACTCCACACCCAGTCAAATCCACCTAAACCTCAAAGGAACTAGTGAGGAGAGGTCAGAGGTCAGGGGCTTAATTGCAGTCAAGTAGAAAAACAAAAAAAGTATCCAGGCCAGGCCAATCAATGGCTAACACCGCAGCTTTATCACCCGAAAGAACCGCCAGGTCTGTGCCAACCCAGAGAAGAAATGGGTGCGGGAGTACATCAACTCTTTGGAGATGAGCTAGGATGGAGGGCCCCTTGAACCTGAACTTGCACATACTCTCCTGTTGCTGCTTGCTCTTTTCCTAACAAGCTTGGGAGGCTTCCTCCCAACCCCCCACCTCCGCCTCCTCCTTGGAGGACACAGATTGCACCACACAGCAGCAGTTCCCCACCTAAAGCCTGGATAAGCTACAAGGCTCTGCACTTTAGGAGGTTGAGGCAGGAGGCCTGCTTGAGGCCAGGAGTTTAAGACCAGCCTGAAGAAGAGTGAGATCCTGTCTCTATAGCAAATAGAGAAATTAGTCAGGCTTGGTGGCACATGCCTGTAGCCCTAGTTACTCGGGAGGCTGAGGCAGGAGAATCACTGGGCCCAGGAGTTGGAGGCTGCAGTGAGCTATGATGATGCTAGCACAGTCAAGAGGCTGTTGTCATTATCCATGTGAGTGGGATTGGAGGCTCAACAGTGCCTGGAGAAAAAGAGACAGAGAAGTGAGAAATCATTTTTTTCTTTTTTGAGACAGAGGCTTGCTTTGTTGCCCAGGCTAGAGTGCAATGGCATTATTATAGCTCACTATAACCTCAAACTCCTGGACTCGAGCCATCCTCCTGCCTCAGTCTCCCAGAGTGCTAGGATTACAGGTGTGATACACCTTGCCTGGCCCAGGAGTGATAAACCTTTGAAGGTGGGATTAGCAAACCCTAATAGGTGATTTTGAGGTCAGGAACAAGGAAGAGAGAGGGGTTGAGGATGATTTCAACCCAGAAGGTTTCAACCCAGAAGGCTGAAGAAATGTGGAACCACCTTAAGTCTCAAGGAACAGCTATTTTAAAAAGAAAGAGCCAAGATGCCAACAAGACATCTCTGTGGAAATGTCCACCAGGGAGTGTGAAATGAAGGGTTGGTAACTGAGGAAGGGGCCAGAAATGTGACATTCTTTTGTAGGAGGAAGGGGTCTTCCATTGAAAAAGAGGCAATACAACCTGTTTTTGGTGACCACTGGCTCCAAAGCCAGCCTGCCTTTACCACCCCAGCTATGCCATTTGGTGAGCCTTAACTTCTCTGTGCCTCAATTACCTTGTCTACAAAGTGGGGTTATTACTTTGTAGGGGAAGTATTACTTTGTATGAGGAAGTACTTTCCTGGGCCAGGCGCTAGGATCACTCCTGTAATCCTAGAACTCTGGGAGGCCAAGGCAGGTGGATTGCTTGAGCCTTGTGATTTGACACCAGCAAGACCCCATCTCTACTAAAAATAGAAAAACTAGCCAGGTGTTGTTGATGCCTATAGTCCCAGCTACTCAGGAGGCTGAGGTAAGAGGATTGCTCGAGCCCAACAGTGTGAGCTTGCTGTGGGCTATGATGCCATGGTACTCTAGCCAGGGTGACAGAATGAGACTCTGTCTCCAAAACAAAAACAAAACAAATATTTTCATTTGAGCATCAGAACAGTTGTGCAAAGTGGGAATTAAATTCAGAGGCCTAAGTGTTTTTGCACGGTGATCCAACCAAGTGGTGAAATCAAGACTCTATGTTCACGTCCATCTTTCACTCTCCCACACGTTCAGTCATATTCAGGTATTCATTTGTTGAGAGCCTGTTCTGTGCCAGGCACTGTGTTGTCTAAAGTCAAATCATATGTTCTTGGCCAGGAGCTGTGGCTCACACCTGTAATCCTAGCACTCTGGGAAGCCAAGGCAGATAGATTACTTAACCTCAGAAGTTCGAGATCAGCCTGAGCAAGACAGAAAGCACATCTCTCCTGAAAATAGAAAAACTAGCCGGGCATTGTGGTGGGTGCCTGAGCACTCAGGAAACTGAGCCAAGAGAATCATCTGATGCCCAAGAGTTTAAAGTTGCTGTGAGCTATGACTCCACTGCACTCTACCGAGGGTGACTAATACTCTGCCTCAAAAAAAAAAAAAAAATCATACGTTCTTTTAGGTATTTCTTGTCTACCACTTAGTCACGACTCTGTTCTGGGGGACACTTTCTTCTCTCTGCATCTTAAGCATGCAGTACAGGGCCTAGAACAGAGGAAGTGCTGTGAAAAGGCTCGTGGTTGGCTGACTCAACCCTGTGCTCCGAGGCTCCATATCCCCTTAGCTTTCAAGGCTGCATGCATTCGTCTGAGGGTTAAAATGCATACAAATTTGTTTCAGGTTTGCAGCCCTTTGATCCAACAGTATAAGAAATATCCTCCTTAAATGCCACAAATAAAATTTTATGGAGCTCCAAAAATGTCCTACTCGGGTACCATTATTTTCCTTTATGTTTAATCCACTTCATCCTCCAAACTGTCCCAGCGCTGACAAGGCCTCACCCTCCTCTTCTTCTCTCCCACAGCTTTATCACCCGAAAGAACCGCCAGGTCTGTGCCAACCCAGAGAAGAAATGGGTGCGGGAGTACATCAACTCTTTGGAGATGAGCTAGGATGGAGGGCCCCTTGAACCTGAACTTGCACATACTCTCCTGTTGCTGCTTGCTCTTTTCCTAACAAGCTTGGGAGGCTTCCTCCCAACCCCCCACCTCCGCCTCCTCCTTGGAGGACACAGATTGCACCACACAGCAGCAGTTCCCCACCTAAAGCCTGGATAAGCTACAAGGCTCTGCTCAGTCAAAACAAAGTCTCTAGGCTCCAAGCTTCAGGCTCCTTGGTTTGGCCATGGCTCTATGACCAGGAACGAAGTCAGTGTGTTTCTAGAAGCAAGGAATGAAGGAAGACTGGGCTCCTGAGCTCCCATCTCAGCTCCTCCCAGGGGTTGACTGGCAAACTTATAAATTCAGCTTTCCATTAAAATTCTCAATGCAGTTACAAAGCTGGCTCTTGGTTTGACTTCCTCCTCGAGAACCCTCCTTCCTCATGAGCATTAAACATTCAGGGTTCAAAGGATTACACACATCTGGTGTCCAGCCTAGATATGGGGGCCATGGCTCTGCTCAGTCAGCAGAGCTGAGAGCAAAAGCTCTCTGAGAAGGAGGCATAGGCAGGCAAAGCAGTTAAAGTAACTAGTGACTTGTCCATTCTAGGGAGGGTAGGGGGATGACAACCATCACTACACCCCACCTAAGACTCCAAGAGTTTATCTCATTCCCTGCCATAGGGCCTCCCTGCTTCCTCAGACTCTGGCTGGTCTTTCCACCCAAGCTCACCCTGTACCTTATCTCCAGTGGGATAACACCACCATTGCCCCATAACAGGAATTGATGGCAATTCCAAATGCCTCAGGTCTTTCAAATAAGGAGAATGGGGTACTTGGCGATTTTCCACAACTGTACCAGGACTTGTAAGGTGGGAGTACTCCAACTTTCCCATCTGTGTGTCTCTTCCTGCGAATATACATTGATAATATACTGAGGGTACCAAGGAAATATATACACATTTTAAGAAAAGAAAAAAAACTGTGTTAAAATCGTAAATACTCTAGTCCTTCTGACTTCTGCAATTACAAGAGGTGCTCAAATATGACTTGTACTCATCTTTCATTATCAGTATATATTATGATTTTAATATAGTTTTTTCCTTTCTTAAAGTGTGTGTACATTTTTTTTTTTGGCACCCTCTGTTTATCACAGTTAACATTAGCTGAGCACAGGCACTGGCTCAGCCCCTTACACCCATCAATCATCAGAGCCTCAAAAACCCTATGCAGTAGGTACTATGATTAGTCCTGTTTACAATCAGAAAACCCCTAGCAAGGCAGGGAAATGATTTGCCGAAAGCCCTGCAGCTCAAACAAAAACAAAGCGGGGGAGGAAGGTTTACAATTAAGATTTAAAGCTACCCGGTCTAAATGCCAAGCCCATCCTTTTTCTTTTTCTACGTTTAATTTGCAAAATTTCAAACCTATAGTAATTTGCAAGCATATGCCCATATACCGTTCATCTAGACTCAAATATTAACATCTTACCACATTTGCTTTGTGTGTGTGCATAGGAGTGTGTGTGTGGTCAGTATATAAATTTTTTGCTGAACCATTTGAGAGCAAGTTGCAGATGTGGTAACGCTTTGCCCCTAGAAGTTTCAGTTTGTGTCTCCTAATAGCAAGGACATGCTACATAACCACAAATTGTATAGCATACTCAGGAAACTTAACAGTGACACAATATATAGTCCATAAGTAAATCCCCCAGTTGTCCCAATAATGTTATTTATAGCCATTTTTTTAAATCAAGGATCCAATTAAGTACACACATTGAATTTAGCTGTCATGCCTTTTCAGTGTCTTTTACCACACTTTTTTGCTCTTTAAGGACATTGGTATTTATTAGAAGTGCAGATCAGACTTTTGTAGACTGTTTCTTAATTTGGATTTGCCCATTTCTTCATAATTTGATTCATTTCTGATAGGACCACATGGGTGATGTCTTTCTCAGTGCATCGCTTCAGAGCACATGATGTCAGTTTACTGGGGACATTAAATCTGATGACTTAGTGACCCATGCTTTCCTGCTACAGTGAGCTGCCCGCTGTGTGCCTGTGCCAGGTACTGGGCGGGAGGGAGAGAAATTAGCCACAAACCACAATCTTTACCTTTAGGCAGCTCACAGTCCAGTGAGGAAGACAGACCTATGAACAGATTAAACATATGATGAACACAGGGAAGAAACTGTACAAAAAGCAGTGATCACATTGTGGGGTGGGAGGGAGCTTTGGGAAGAAGAGAGACTTCAGAGATGTGATAACATTTGGGTGGACTTTGAAAGATTTGAGGAATAGTTAACAGCTAGGAAAGGAAGGGAAAAGGGCCAGGCATGGTGTCTCACACCTATAATCCCAGCACTTTGGGAGGTTGAGGAGGCATGATCACTTGAGCCCAGGAGTTCAAGGCTGCAGTGAGCTGTGATTGCACCACTGTACTCCAGCCTAGCAGGAAAGGACTAACAGGTAGAGGGAACAGCATATGCAGAAGTAGGCAGTATGAAAGGAAGCTCCTTATACCACAGATAAGAATTCAGTCTCTTGCCGAGTGTGTGTATAAAAGGGACTTGCCCATCATTTTCCTGATTATGGATAATGCTAATAGCAACCCCTGACCATAACATGGGCCAACTTGACCTTGACTGTACAAATGCTTCGATTTTTCCCGCCCCCCAATTTATGCCTCACTGTAGCCCCTCTAGTTAGCCAGGCAGGCATGACTTTCTCACTTTTCAGGTGAGGAAACTGAAGCTGAGAGGTAATGTGACTAGCTC